AGTAAAATAAATGGAGGGATATTGTAGTTTGTTTTATAGCAGTATGCAGTTGAATGCAGTTGACTTTTTCTTTATTTAGCTGTTGAAAAGCTTGGTTTTGGAGCCGAGAAGATTTGTGAAAATGTTCCTGTAAACCAAAGTGAGACCAAGTAAGAAACACTTTGTGTCAGGCTGATATTAAAATAATCAGCATCCTCCTAGCATCTGCACTAGATCGATCAATGGATCTATGAGGACAGCTCTTTAAACTCCAAAGAGTGTAATCTAAAAAAGGCCTTGTGTATTTATACTTCGCCTCCATTATTCTGTCACCTCTAAATAAAATCAACCTCAACCAATCACCTTCACAAGCCTCACAAGGAATTTTTATTTTTTTTCCCATAGACAGCCACCCTAAAGTGCCAGATTGGGAAACATCCCCACCTGGCAGCAATACACGTAAGATGGTAAATGTTAGCCTCTAAATCCCATCATGCACCACATATTTTTACAAGATATTCAAACATAAATTTGCCAAATATAAGAAGAACATCATAGTTTGGTTTAAAGAAAGCATTTTAGTTTCATTATAATTTAGTTTGTTGCAAGGATTTTACAGATTGAAGAAATAGAAAATTACACCTTATGCCAAGGATGTGCATGAAAAGGAAGGGCTATATATACTGCATGCATCATTTAGGTAGTTAACATTGTATTACTTCTTGAGCTCCTTGAGTTATTTACTGTCACAGGTAGGTGCTTTGGCTGGAGATGAAGTGTTGGGGCCGGTATGATTCAAGGAGGGCTGGCCCTTGCATGCTGAAATTAGGAGCGGCCCATCGGGCATATGCCCGGTATCACCGATTACCACTCCAAGCTGGCCGTCCACCTTCACTGACATGCTGATTGAATAGAGAGTCTGTAGAAAACTCTCCATATACCTCCAACTGAGCTGCTTAACCATCATGGACAACAACACAATCACATTTCTGCTATTTCAGGCATTGCTGAACACGTTACACTCAGGTGTCTCCAGGTTTACCAGACCATCATCAGGAGCCATAAGGTGCTGTTATTTACCATCTATACAGGCGAAGAGAAAACATAAAGCAGGATTTCTTCCAGAAATATCAGTGCAGTTTTGGATCAATGATAAATTATCAGCATATCTCTCTTCGGTGTTTCTCCCAGACATATATATTTTTGTACTTCCTTTCTGTTCATGATCTGAGCATTTTTATGTAGCATGTTTGGTACTCACTATACCACTTTAAATGTCAGGTTGGTCAGTGAAATCTGTTGTGGTGGGCACAAAATGCATATTAGGCCCGCCTCAAAATGTTGCTGCATGCCCCCTGAACAGACCTTCCCCATGGTAAAGCACGGTGTTGGCAGCATCATTTTGTGTGAGGCTTTTTATTTATGATGGAAATCAGGGTGGAGCTAAATTAACAGTTACCCTAGTGGCGTGAGGACGATCCTAAACATGCAGCCAGAGCTACCAAGGAAGGATTGAGATCAAACACATTCATGTTAATAGATGTTCATGATCCTTCTCGATCATTTTTTTTTTGACAAGGCAGTTTACAAAG